ATCATGACCTGAGCCGAAGTCCTATGCTCAACCGACTGAGCCACTCAAGCACCCTCACGGTTTTTTTTCTTTTTTCTTTAAATAAAAATCCAATTTGCAAAAGTTCATGGCAATACTTCTATAGACACCAATATATACTGGGTAACCACAAGACATAGCACATGAAAATACGCTAATGTTCCTGCCTTTAGGAAATATGTTCCCCAGCAAGATTCATGAGCTCAAACACTGGCACTCACTATTTTACACACCACCGTAAGAAGCATACCCTTAAGACAATGGACTTGGGGCGCTTGGGTGGCTCAATTGGTTAAGCGTCCAACTTAGGCTTAGGTCATGATCTCCCAGTTTGTGAGTTCGAGTCCCGCACCGGGCTCTGTGCTGACAGCTCGGAACCTGGAGCCTGCTTCGGATTCTGTGTCTCCCCCTCTCTCTCTGCCCTTCCTATGCTTGTTCTGTGTCTCTCTGTCTCTCTTAAAAATAAATAAATAAACGTTAAAAAAAAAAAAGACAGTGGCCTTTTCCTTAAGGAAATACAATATGGGTACAAAGTGTATAAAAACAAGAGAATCGGGAAAGATATGATGATAAGCTGTTAAATTAAGGAAAATGATTCATTAAAAAATAGGGGCGCCTGGGTAGCTCAGTCGGTTAAGCATCTGACTTCAGCTCAGGTCATGATCTCACAGTCTGCAAGTTCGAATCCCATGTCGGGCTCTGTGCTGACAGCCTAGAGATTGGAGACTGCTTCAGATTGTGTCTCCCTCTCTCTCTGCCCCTCATCTGCTCACACTCTCTCTCTTTCTCAAAAATGAACACGCAAAAAAATGTTTTTAAATAAACCAAAGTGTCGACAGTATGTATATTACGTGTCTGTGTGTGTGTGTTGGGTATGTATGTAAACTCTGCAGTCTTCAATCCTAAAAAAATAGATTTGGGTAAATTAAAAATTTGACAGTAAATAGAGAAAGGTCTATAGGTTGTCCTGAGATATGATGTGGTTGGGAATGAAGAAAAGAGGCAGGGCTACAAACCTGCCATTCGGGGTATAGGTTATAATTAAAAAGAAATGGTTCCAAGTTGTACTATCTTACAAAGGATTCACTTCTCTGAAATAATTAGATAGAAGGAATTTCATTCTCTGATAGATTCTATGCAGGACCATTTATTGCTTCTTGATATAATTTCTGACACAGTACATACAAACTCAAGGATAAAGATGGTGAGCCTCAATAACATGTTTTGTTATTCTAGGATTTTAAGTATACATGTTAAAGGCCTATTGTTGAAATTTGTTACATAAAAATTTTATATCTACTGAATAAAAACTGTAAGGGTAAGGAAAAAAATAAGAAAAAAAAGACAAAAGAAAGCTTAAGAAGAAGATATCAAAATTGCTTAAGTATATTCAAATCATATAAAAAAGAATGGAAAGGGTAAAGCAGTATCACATTTTGGAAAACTGTCAGTTGATAACTGAAGATTTAAAATGAACTATGGTAGTTATGGAGAAAGCAAAAATTAAAATGTTAAAAATTAAAAATTAAGACAAACTGCCAAACAAAACAATGTTACCACTAACTAAGGCAATCTTACCACTACTATCAGTGACATTACTGGGAAGCCACTTGTAATTTTCGATGTTAGTTGTTGCTTCTAATAATGGATATCTTGGAATTTCTTAGAAAAACTCTATGCGCTGGTTCTGGGATCCCTTCTGTCCTTAGAATCAAGCTTCTTCCATTTGTTTTGTGTTTTAGGATGCTGCTTAAATTGGTCTGAAAAAGGACTCTTCCGCACCTTCCCCAACCCAAAATCTCTGAATACCACTATTTCACAATACTATAAAAACTGAGAACTATTTGGATGAAATAAAACATGTAATTCTTTGATAGATCAAACAGAAGAAACCGTAAGTGGGTACTATTAATTACTTCTTTACTATTTATCTGAGCATCTAAATAGACTCTCCTTACTATTAAAAAAGCACAACTGGAAGGATGTAAAAGACTATACATTACTGGAGGACAGGACTACATATACCATTTCACAGCACCCTCACTGCAGTCCCATGATGACTGGGGTGTTAATTTTATAATACATTTGTTCTCCCTGAATGGATCATCGCACAGAAATAATAACAAGTATATATAGCATACCTGCTCTTTGATGGAGTCTTACTCTATGTACCATTTCAACAATAAAAACGTTTTGCTCCCACTGTGGCATATTTCAAAATGTGTCAGCATGTGCATCTGTTCAAGCATTAGTGCCTATGAAAGGGATGCTTTTCATCTTTTCAAATTTTCTAATAAGAACATTGTATTGATTTTTTAAAAAAAACATCAAGAAACCTACCGAGGTTCCCACAAAAAAAAATATATAAGTATCTTTTTACTTTTAAAAAGATGGATTACAAAAAGCAGCAATATGAAAAAAAAAAGACAAAATATCTCTAAGAAAATTTGCAAATGCTATTTTACCTTCACTGTTACTAAAATTTTCTGAAAGTTAACAAGTTAATATTTCATTCAGATCACCTGAAGCAGAGACTTCATAGGTGCAAAGCTTTGCAATCTTCATATATTTCATTCATTTTTAGAGTGCTTCGCATTGAAAATATAAACATTCTTGATCCCACATCCAAAATCCAATATCTGATTATATGAATAAGTCATTTATAAAATAAGTTTTAAAAAGGAAAAGGAAAAAAGATATTTTCTTTTTTTTTTTTTTTATTTTTTTATTTTTTTTTAAATTTTTTTTTTTTCAACGTTTTTATTTATTTTTGGGACAGAGAGAGACAGAGCTTGAACGGGGGAGGGGCAGAGAGAGAGGGAGACACAGAATGGGAAGCAGGCTCCAGGCTCTGAGCCATCAGCCCAGAGCCCGACGCGGGGCTCGAACTCACGAACCGCGAGATCGTGACCTGGCTGAAGTCGGACGCTTAACCGACTGCGCCACCCAGGCGCCCCGAAAAAAGATATTTTCAGAGATGAAATTTACCACTAGAATTTGGGAAATTCATACCTCATCAGTGTTATAGATAATCTGGAGTCCTGAGGAAATCATTTCCACAAGGTAAAGGAGATAGAGTGACACTGCATTTATCTGAAAAACAATATTAAAAGGTTAAAGGAAATAGCAGAAAGACTATGTTATGAAGGAGCTAAAATTACAAGTCATTGCTCTAATAGTGGCAAACAAAAACTATTTCTTTTTTTAGTTCCTAATAAAATCCCAGCTTTGAATATAAAACTCTAAAATCCTCAAATTCCCTGTGATGGTTAATATCTGATTAGGAAAATGGCAACAAATAGAACTGTTAGCAACTGTTTCTGTAACATTTGTTTTAGAAGATTTATTTTCAAATTCTGAATCTAATGTACCCTACTTTGAAGTAGTTTTGCCCCACAGGCAGCTATGTAATGTCAATTCATCTCAAATGTATGTAAATGAAAGTTATTTGGCATGTAAGACATTAGGACTTTGCCAGTACACCATAAATAATAGGCAGCAAATCTTGAAAACAGTCTTATTCTCAGAGAATGCACAATTGATGTAAGCAGCTGCAGGGACATACTGATTTTAATCAATGGCATAGCATAGAATTTAAAATATATTTATGAACAAATGAGTTTTATAAACAAATGACTTACTTTTTTCTTTTAGTCTATTAAAGATAGACATTATATGATAGAAAAGAAAATAAAGACAATAATGTCCACTTTAACAAAAAAAGATTCTCACAAAAATCCTGAAGGGGATGTGTAAATTGTCTTAAGTAAACAAGTAGTGAAAGATAAACACTACAACAAAGACAAACCTTGAAAATATGCTAAAGATGGGGCGCCTGGGTGGCGCAGTCGGTTAAGCGTCCGACTTCAGCCAGGTCACGATCTCGCGGTCCGTGAGTTCGAGCCCCGCATCAGGCTCTGGGCTGATGGCTCAGAGCCTGGAGCCTGTTTCCGATTCTGTGTCTCCCTCTCTCTCTGCCCCTCCCCCGTTCATGCTCTGTCTCTCTCTGTCCCAAAAATAAATAAACGTTGAAAAAAAAAAAATTTAAAAAAAGAAAATATGCTAAAGAAGCCAGTCACAAAAGACCACATATTGTATGATTCCATGTATATGAAATTTACAGAATAGGAGTATTTATAGAAATAGAAAGACTGGTGATCGCCTAGGGCGGGGGGCTTTGGGGGAGATGGGGAGTGACTGCTAATGAGCACAGATTTCTTTATGGGATAATGAGAATATTCTGAAATTGACTATGATAGTGGTTGTACAACTCTGTATTATAAAAACCAATGAATTGTACACTTTAAATAGGTGAATTGTATGTTATATGAATTGTTTCTTAATAAAGCTGTTATATAATAAACAAATACATACATAGGAAACAGTAAAAAATTAGCTAGGAAAATGATTATTTAAAAACAAAGAGAAAGCACAATGTAATTTTGTCCTTATGTGATTCTAACCCAGAAGATTATGACCCTCCCACAGCTTTGGTGTCTTGTACCTTCCTCGACTTTCCTCCAATCCTTACCAAGGAACTGACAGAAAGCTGGGGCAGAAAATTATTTGTGTCTGAGACGCCTTGGACAAAGCATGCCTGTGCTATCAGGTGTGCTGGGTATCTTTGCCCAATCATCTTTGCCTTAGACATCTTTGTCACAGGCATTTTACTGCAAACATTTTCAGTGTGTATATTTTCTCCACTAAACTAAATGGCCATGAGGCAATTTGGCCATAAAAGATAAAAAAATAACTGGTTGACAGTTTGATTTGACAGTCTGGTTTTATTTCTCCATTGATGTGAAACTCCCACTTTTATATTATATGTCTTATATTTTCATAATCATCTTTTTGTATTCCATACTTTTATATTATATAAATCTTCGACCTCATAATGGTCTATGTAATGACACAGAGTTTTGAACCCACATTTCCCAGAGAACCATCAAATGTCTAGGAATAAACATGTGACAAGATGCCAAGAACAAACAACAGGGTAGATGTCTTTCACAACGCAATGCAAAGACCAATTACCAATATGCACCCTAGTATTTGGAAACTGATATCCCTCTCAGTGAAGGAAGAAATTTTAGTGAATAATGAAAAAAATTAATGCCAAATGAGGAGAAAATTAACAAGTAAGAAAGATGTATTAACTCTGAACCAAAGATTTTGAAAACAAATGCTCAGGTACATCCAAAAAATAAAACCAGTTATTTGCACAATGTTCCCATGAATCTATACATATTTTAAATGCATTTAGCATTTGGTATTTCACAAAAAAGACTTTTTAATTTTGTCATTCATTTTTCATGTTATATTATGTCCTTTTTAATGTCCCTCTTTTATTTTTGTGATTTTATCTTTCAAAGTAAAATTGCCTTACAGCCAATTAGTTATGCGGTGAAAATACATGCAGCGAAAATTCTTGCAGCAAAGATGCTCACTGAAACTACCTAAAACCACCACCAGGTCCTGGCAGAGTAGGTGGCTCTCTCAGGAAGCAGAACTATCCTAGATGTCTCCTGACTTCTCAGCATTCAAAGTCCAGTGGGTGTAAGGGTCTTGTCAAGGTCCAAGTAAGCCAGACAGAAAGATACAAGATTCTGGGGTTAGGTTTTTTAGACTGACATAAACTGTTGAGTGGCCCTTCTCAGAACATGGTGGAAAAGAGCTTCAAACCACTGCCAGGTTTACCCAAATATTTTCTTACATGTAAACACTGATACTGGCCTATTAGAAATGACTTCAAAGGAATTTCATCACTATGGATAACCATTTACAAACTACACTTCCAAGAGCTCTTTGCTCTCATTTCTGGGATGCTTCTGTGAGAAAATATCATCAAGTGGCAAACTGTACAGAAACAGCCAAATAACAGGTTGACCAGCATTTATTTAAAATCTGCTATGAGCCAGGCACTAAGCTTAAATTCTGGGATACAAAAATAAATGAACCATTATCTTCTGGAAATCCTATTTCAAACAGTAAACATATTTGTCAAAGCAAAAGGTACATAAAACCTAATTATGTTATAATTATAAGGAGAAGGTTGAGCAACATATAATACTAATAATTCCCCAAGGAATTGGTTAGAAATAAGTGTAAGAGTTTCTGCCACATAGAAATGGGGACACTGTGCTTTCTATGTCTACAGAAGTCATACTAAAGTAAGACATTTCAGATCTCTAGAGAGAGAGGGACTATAAAAAGGACATACTCTTATTTTAGTAAGGAATATATGAATAATAAGTATTCTGTCCTAAAGACAGCAGAATCAAATGATGAGCAGGAAGAAAACTCATTAAAGATAAATAGCATCGGGGCGCCTGGGTGGCGCAGTCGGTTAAGCGTCCGGCTTCAGCCAGGTCACGATCTCGCGGTCCGTGAGTTCGAGCCCCGCGTCAGGCTCTGGGCTGATGGCTCGGAGCCTGGAGCCTGTTTCCGATTCTGTGTCTCCCTCTCTCTCTGCCCCTGCCCCGTTCATGCTCTGTCTCTCTCTGTCCCAAAAAAAATAAATAAAAACGTTGAAAAAAAAATTAAAAAAAAAAAAAGATAAATAGCATATATAATACTTATAACCTAAAAACAAGGCAACAGGATGTCCAGCTAAAAGGAGTACACAGATATGAGAAAAAAAAAGTGAAAACAAAACAAAATCCTACAGTGCATGGTTAGCCTAGGTATAAAATTTAATATAATATATAAGACAAAATTTATAGACTCCAGCAATGCCTTTTGGAATTACATTTTAGGGGTATGTTTATAGCTTTGTTGAAGGTTGATATATCAAAAATGAGCTGTCATGTAACAAAAATTTCTGATTTGCTGTTATATCACTGTCAACTGTCTTTTATTCTCTAGTTCCTATGTGTTGAAGTACTTCTAAATTTTATAAGTGCAAGCTTTTGTCATGGAAAGAACTGTGAGAGCCCTTCTTTTAGACAGTAATAATATTATAAACCATCCACTTGCCCTTTTTTGCTTGCAGACCAAGACCTCAGTCTGACTTAATGCTCAATCACAATAACTAACTCAGCTCTGGCAGTTTTCATTTCACTTCTCCATTTTATGGTTGGTTTTCTACTTTTATTTTAAACAATTTATGAAATCTACTTTATGAAATTTATAAATACCCTAAAATCTTCTACAACCTGAGTGCACACAGAGAAGAAGAAAACCTGTAGTCTTCTCCTTTTACCTGAAGATGGCCATATTCCTCATGGGAGAGGATCTCATCTCCCGTATGCACATTGAAAACAGAGTGAAGACAGGTTGCTGGGCGTGGGTCCTGCTTAAACTGCTGGACCTAGAATCAAACACAAAATTCAAATAGTACTCATAACTCACATTTTCATCCAACTTTGGAAGTTATAAATTAATTTTCATGAAACTTTTTAATGACGAAAGCTATAGCTTAAAAGCAGAGGACAGAGCAAAGCAGAAATGTTATTTTTTTCTAAAGAAAGCAAACAGAAAAAAACTCATAACTACTAATTTTAATAGTTAACATGATTGTTGAATATTTAATTATTTCACAAATAGCAAATAAAGTGTAGTAGGGACCTTGTTAACGTGGTAGCAATGGCTTTTGCAACCGTTTTGTATCATTTTATTTTAGAGTCAAATAATGGTTTAGTCTGTGGGACAGGATTTCAGTGATTACAACCCACTGTATTGCTATTTGAAAATGCTTCTATGATACTCAATGAAAAAGTGCTTCAAATCTCATTCTAATTCAGTTGGTGTTCAAAACTTCAAATGCTATTTCCTTCTCTAAGGATCACAAATTGTAACCTATGCTCCTTTCTTTTCATTTCCTTTGCCACATATACTCTCCTTACAAGGCACCAATTCCAAGAGAACATAGATCATACCTGTACTTATCAACTGCATATAAAATCTAACCATTTTAGAATACTAAGTAAATGCTAAATGACCTAACAACCTCCAAGGGAAAAAAAAAAATCTATCTACTTTTTTAGGGCTTGTTCAATTCAATTTGGCAAACACTTTCTGATACCAATCATATGCCAAGTACTATGCCAGCCCCTGAAATTATGAGATGAATAAAAACAGAGAATGGATAGAATAACACAAAGCTATATGTGAAGCTTTTCCTCCTTGAAAAGATATGTGATGATAATATCTGCATGGTTATGACTTTGTCTTGTTTCACTTGGCTAAGAAAGCACATGGAGCTATATTCTCTTCCTCACCTTCAAATTTCTTCTCATATTTAAAACTCTATCTCCAAAAAACACCTTCTTTTATAAAGTCCCTTCTGAACTGTACCTCAAATTCCTTTCCCTGGACTCCTACATCAGGGTGCTTATTCTTCAAAATTTCTTCTTTTTATACACTCTTACTATCTTTAAGCTTCTACAAGTTACACTATCCGATATGAGCTACTAGCTACAGGCAACTAATTAAATGACAATTAAACAAAGTTTAGAAATTCAGTCCCTCATTTACACTGACTACATATCAAATAGACGTATGGGCTTAGTGGCTTCTTCAAAGTTCAACACAGTAATACAGAGCATGTCTACCATCACAGAAAGTTCACTGGACACTACTGTGCTAAAGGGCTAATATATTTTTGCACACCCTCAAGAGCCCTGCAAATACCCCATAAACAAATGCATAGCCTTCCTTATGACTGAAGTCAAGAAAATGAAAGCAAGGCCCTACCATTAGATAGTTAGGAATGAGAGGATGAGGATGAAGGTAGAGATGTATACCTTCTATCTATAAAATGACCAAGACATCCAGTATTAACAGAAGAAGATGAGAAGGCTATCCATTCTCAGTATCTGAAACTGCTGGCAACAGTCTTAGGCTACACAAATAGAAATCAATGCGGTCTTTTACACTACCATGATTATTATCTCAAAGTGATGAACATTACTCTGGGCTTTCAGAAAAAAATATGCTTAAATTAAAATAAAATACATTTTGCCTATTGATAAAAATCTAAAAGAATAAGGTTTTTATCAGTTTAAGAAAGTTATTACGACAGGGCACCGGGGTTGGTAAGTCATTTAAGTGTCCAACCCTTGATTTCAGTTCAGGTCATGGTCTTAACAGTTCATGAGATTCAGCCCTGTGAAGGGCTCTGCGCTGACAGCTTGCAGACTGTTTGGGATTCTCTCTCTCTCTGTCTGTCTCTACCCATCCTATGCTTGTATGAGCTCTCTCTCTCTCTCAAAATAAGTAAATAAACATTAAAAAAAAAAAGTTGCTGCTACAGTTGATAACATAGTGTTTGTCATTTGTCTTCAAGATACACAAGTACCCAGTATGAGAATTTATATTCAATCACTGTGCCAGGGGAAAAAAAGAAGACCCAGACTATAGAAGCTTTGAAAATTAATGAGGCATTATTATATGTGAATTGTAGAGAACAACTATTCTTGAAATCAGTAAAAAAACAAAACAAAAACAAAAACAAACAAACAAAAAAACCAAGGGACATTAATCAGTATTTTATATGTTGGGCACCTGGAAAGGAAAATAAAAATAAAGAATAATTAAGGCAAAATTTTCTAAACCAAAAAAATCTAAAATAATGTTTTCTCAACTTGTATTTTTAGATTTTTCCTGGAAACTTAAATAATTGTGAATAAACAGCTTATCATTTATGAAAAGGTGAGTAATTTGTCATCCATTCTTAATTTATACACCTAACACAGAATTTAGGTGGGAATATCATCTCATAAGGGAATCCCGGAAGAATAAATTTTATAAAATTTTAATGACTTTTAATAAACTAGAAACTACTCAGTAACATTTTAGACAAATTTTTTATATAGATAGCTAGGGACAGAAACATTCATAGCCCATTATAAAGGAAATCTTTGCCTTCCAAACTACTCAAAGCAAATTGAATTTATTTTGAAAAATTCTGAATACTTCTCCGAGGGTTGGGGGTGGGGGTGGGGATGGTATTAGAAAATAGAGTAAATGAGAGAATATGAACATTTAAAGGTAAAAAACAATTCCTAATATGACTAAGTAGGCATTAAGATAAGTGGAAAGATAATAATAGAAATCAGATTGCTCTACATTCTGCAAATCAAGGACAACTCTATTCATTCAAATGCATAATGAATTAAAATCTTTTCAGTAGTATTTTTAGAAAATGTGTCAGGAAGCATGTCATGATTTTACTTCAGAAGACAAAGAAAATAAACCTTAAAGTCAAATAAAAAATTATTGCTATAAATACACTTCACGTTAGTTTTACAAAAAAGGCAAAAAATATATATTTCACATTTTAAAATATGCAAACATATTTTAAATATTCTACTACATATTTCTACAGCTGCAGAATAATGAAGAAAATGGTGGTCATCAATGAGGTGAAGGTTTGGTAGCAGGCAGTGAGCCGGGCATGTGTGGTTAAATCTCTGAGTCAGTCCTTTACAGTCACATGTGAATTATGAAAATATCCTTCATTCCTACTCTAGAAGGTTATGGGGATCAGAAAAGATTACAACAATAAAAATGCTTTAAAATATGTAAAACCCTGTATTTTGTGGTATGCATACATACCTAATCCTAATATGATCTACACCTTTTTACAACTCACATTTACTTTGTCTAACATTATAACTACATAAAGGAAAGAAATGTCAATTCTTTATAATTTAAGAAATTCAAGGCAGTTTAAGCTGTATTCAAAAGAACACATAATTGTGAAGATTGGTTAGTAAGGTTGAGTAATATTCAGAAAGGGATATTAACAATTGGTTAAGCCACAAAGACCCTTTTTTATCATCATTTCCTTCCTTTTGATAAACATTACTTATTTAAGTCTATCAGCTTGCTTAATAAACATATGAAATTCACTGGTCTCACAATGTTTCCTTGAGAAAAAAGTTAATTCACAGACATTAGGCATTCATGAGATGATAAATGTGAAATAAACAGTAAACTTCCCACACTTAGGAAAAAAAAAATTAATCACAATTACTTCAATATATATGACATACTAGTTTAAGTCAAGTATGACAATATGATTTATTTCAAGCACTGAAAAACCTTTATAATAATGATTTGCAAAGTCAAATCTCAGTAGACAATTACAGGTTTGTTACATATCTCTATTATGAGCTGGTGAATAAATTTACTTTTTCTGCCAACTAACATTTTCTTGTTGCCACATTCTGATAGAGTATAATTTTTTTTCAGTTTTGACTTCAGATACAGATCTTAAAAAAATATACAATCACAAAAACTTAATGTAATATTTACATAAAAACATAAAATATTAAGTGATAAAAACATAAAACATTCATAATTACTAATGTACATCTTTGCTACTGAATCATCAAACCTGGGGATGATCTTGGAGACTCATATACTCACTGATGTATATGGACCCAGGGACACAGATATGTAGGTAAGTAGGAGAATTATCATCTTATATTTGCATAGAATCTTAGACTTTTTATTATGTATATTATTTTAATAATTACTATAATTACTGATTTTTATGTATATTATTTTACTTTCCACAATATCCCTGTAAAATCTATTTTCTCAGCCAAAAATTCCTGTCCTCTTTACATGTAAATGATGAAGTATTTTTAAAGTTCAATTAAGCCAGGGCAAGCACATGTGCAAAAGGATTTGGATAAGAATTTTCTTAAGTAATATATTGGTTACAATTATGGATATTGTAACGTTCCTGAGAAACTGAGTCTTTATCAAGCAAACACCAGATCCAACATACAAACAAATTAAAGCCTAAATAACAATTCTCAGTCAACTCTTGCTTACGGTGTTTCTTTAATTTCAGTATTTCAAACCCTGGGCTGGGAAGGCAGGGCTGTTTTAAGCTATCTAGACTGCTCTAGGATGTGACTTTACCTTTTGAAAGTACATTCTTCTTTAGAAGATGCTATTGCTATACTGGTTAAATTAATCCTTCAGAACGATGTGAGAATTCCAGTCCACACTACAGTGTTTTACCTTATCGGCCTGACGCATATAGCAGTAGAGAATTCCTCTCATACATTTTATAGCCGAGTGCTCCAGCTCATGGGTCCTTCCCTTGTCATCATCAATGCGCCTGGGTAAGAGAGATAACTCATGAAACAAATTGGAAATGCATTTGAAAAGGAAGCAGAGCTTCCAGTAATTAAGTATTTAACTATCTGACTAATCCTATGTTCTGGCCACATCTACTAATTCTGTAACAGTGAAACTCCATTTTCCCAGCAGATGTAGAAATGCTGCAATAAAAAAAAAAAAAAAGTCCTATGATGAAACTTGTGTTGATTTCTCCTTCTTTTAAGGAAGTTAGCCAATTGCTTCAAAATAGCATACAATATTTCTACACTGACTCGGCTAAAACTTTAAAGGATATTCTAAATTGGAAAAACCAACCAAAAGATTTTTTTTAATATGCTGTTACAGAGTAGAGGCGATTTTTAACACCAATCCCTTTAGGTTATGCAATGGTTGGATTCAAGGCAGCACAGATTAATGTAGGCACATGCGTTCTTTGGTATACCATGTGTTTAACAATGTCAAGGTGGGCACTTTAGTCAAAGATTCCTTTAAAAAAACACACATCCAGTATGACACATGATGTATTTGGGCGGTTTTATACTCTTGGGTCTTAGTTTAAAATCAATCGACCATTGTTTATATCTCTTGCTTTTAAAAATAAAAAAATCAGTTAAAATGTAACTATTTAGCAAGGTGAAGATATTCTTCTAACTTTAGGTTCCTTTTTTACCATGGATCAAAAGGTAGATGACACTTAACCATGACTGAAAAATGAAAGTAACTTATTCATTGTTTCATTGAATCTTAACTAAAATATCTGGCACTCATCCTCCCTTGATAAAAAGTATCACCCATCTCCTTAAAAAGTAGACTACAATTTCTTCCTATTCTAACTGCGAATCTCATATACCACTATGAGAAACGATAATGATCATTTTAACATACCACTGTCAATGTCAGACAAAAGTAAGTTGCTATTAGAATATCATACCTTCCTCAAATGCAGGTACTGTAGTAAAACTACCATGACTTTGCTCTATGATCTATTTTTCTGTCTAATGTCCAACACAAGTGTTTTAATAGAGGTAAATTATAGCACAGGTAACAGTGGACCATACAAGAGAAAGAGCATACTTTGGGTAGAATAAACTCAATGAAATCTGTGTCCAATTCCAACCTCATCTAAAAATAAAGCAAAATAAAATTCAAGTTTTTCTAAAATTGTCTTTTTAAAGTTTATTTATTTATTTTGAGAGAGAGAGAGAGAGACCCAGGCAAGAAAGAATCCCAAGGAGATTCCACCCTGACAGCCCCATTCAATGCAAGGCTCGAACTCACAAACTCTGAGATCACAACCTGAGCCAAAGTCAAGAGTCAGACACTCAACTGACAGAACCACCAGGCACCCCATTAAATTGTCTTTAAAATAATTTTCTGCCCCTAATTTTAATGAGCATTTAACCAAAACTAAAATATTCCAGAATAAATCAGACACTACGAAGAGTTCTTCTCTTTTAATGAAGTTCCCCTATTTCTCCTTTCTTCACCAAATAAAATAGAAACCAGAAGAATATTTCACTTCTGACTGAGAAAGTAAAACAAACAAACAAACAAACAAACAAACAAACAAACAAACAGGTGCATTTGAGTAAAAACATTTAGGCTGCCAGGATATATTTATTACCTTTTCACAGATTTAAGGTGAATATGATGACCTGAAATAATTCCTTTATTTTCTACCAGGATCTAGCAATATTCCACTCTCCTTAATAAGCTCTGTGGAGGTAAACTCAAGTTTTAATATGATCTGATGAATACTTTTAATTCTAAAAAATGAATAAATGGAAGAATAATAATCCGTGAATTTACTTATCACACACTTCAAAAACATGTCCTAAAAACAAGGACATCTGCCTTTATAACCATAATATTATCACCACAGCCAAGGAGTTTAATATTGTTACTAAATTATCTAATATATATGCTATATCAAATTTACCCAAATATACCCAAGATATACCTTTTAGGATTTATTTCTAATGTGGGATACAATAAAAGATTGCATTTGAGTGCCATGTTTATTTTGTTGACTAATTTAACATTTTATTGCCTTTTTCTTTTTTTAAATGAAGTATGATTAACATACAGTGTTATATTAGTTTCAGGTGTATAATATAATGAGTCAACAATATGGTACTCAGTATTCCTGAAGATAAGTGTATTCTTGATCTCCTTTATCTATTTCGCCTATCCCCCCCATCCACCTACCTACTCTCTGGCAACTTTCAGTTTGTTACCTGCATTTAAGACTATGGTTTTGGGGCGCCTGGGTGGCGCAGTCGGTTAAGCGTCCGACTTCAGCCAGGTCACGATCTCGCGGTCCGTGAGTTGGAGCCCCGCGTCAGGCTCTGGGCTGATGGCTCGGAGCCTGGAGCCTGTTTCCGATTCTGTCTCCCTCTCTCTCTGCCCCTCCCCCAATCATGCACTGTCTCTCTCTGTCCCAAAAATAAATAAAAAACGTTGAAAAAAATTAAAAAAAAAAAGAGTATGGTTTTTTGTTTGCCTCTTTTTTGTTTGTTCATTTATTTATTTGGTTTCTTAAATTCCGCATATGAATAAATAAACCCACACTTATATGGTCGATTAATATACAACAAAGGAAGTAATAATGTGTAATTGGGAAAAGGCAGTCTCTTCAATAAATGGTGCCAGGAAAACTAAAGGGTTACATGCAAAAGAATAAAACTGGACCAGTTCCTTACACTGCACACAAAAATAAACTCCAAATGAATTACTGTGAGACACAAAACCATAAAACTTTTTTAATTAATTAATTAATTTTTAAAATATGAAATTTATTGTCAAATTGGTTTCCATACAACACACAGTACTCATTCCAACTCGTGCCCCCCTCAATACCCATCACCGACACTCCCATCCCTCCCAACCCCCATCAACCCTGTTTGTTCTCAGTTTTTAAGACTCTCTTATATTTTGGCTCCCACCCTCTAGAACTCCTTTTTTTCCCCCCTACCCCATGGTCTTCTGTTAAGTTTCTCAGGATCCACATAAGAGTGAAAACATATGGTATCTGTATTTCCCTGTATAACTTACTTCACTTAGCATAACACTCTCCAGTTCCATCCACGATGCTACAAAAGGACAGATTTCATTCTTTCTCATTGCCACATAGTATTCCATTATGTATATAAACCACAATTTCTTTATGCATTCATCAATTGATGGACATTTAGCCTCTTTGCGTTAATTAGGCTATTGTTGAAAGTGCTGCTATAAACATTGGCGTACAAGTGCCCCTATGCATCAGCACTCCTGTATCCCTTGGGTAAATTCCTAGCAGTGCTATTGCTGGGTCACATGGTAGATCTATTTTTACTGTTTTGAGGACCATCCACACTGTTTTGAGAGCGACTGCACCGGTTTGCATTCCCACCAACAGTGCAAGAGGGTTCCCATTTCTCTATATCCTTGCCAGTATCTATAGTCTCCTGATTTGTTCATTTTGGCCATTCTGACTGGTGTGCAGTGATAACTGAGTGTGGTTTTGACTTGTATTACCCTGATGAGGAGCGACATTGAGCATGATTTCATGTGCCTGTTGGCCATCTGGATGTCCTCTTTAGAGAAGTGTCTACTCATGTCTTCTGCCCATTTCTTCACTGGATTATTTGTCTTTTGGGTGTGCAGTTTGGTAAGCTCTTTATAGATTTTGGATACTAGCCCTTTGTCTGATATGTCATTTGCAAATATCTTTTCCCATTCTGTTGCTTGGCTTTTAGTTCTGTTGATTGTTTCCTTGGCAGTGCACAAGCTTGTCATCTTCATGAGGTCCCAACAATTCATCTTTGCTTTTAATTCCCTTGCCTTTGGGGATATGTCATGTAAGAAATTACTGCGGCTGAGGTCAGAGAGGTTTTCTCCTATTTCTCCTCTAGGGTTTTGATGGTTTCCTGTCTCACATTCAGGTCCTTTATCCATTTTGAGTTTATTTTTGTGAATGGTGTGAGAAGGTGGTCTAGATTCATCCTTCTGCATCTTGCTGTCCGATTCTCCCAACACCATTTGTTAAAGAGACGGTCTTTTTTCCATTGGATATCTTTCCTGCTTTGTCAAAGATTAGTTGGCCATACTTTCATGGGTCTAATTCTGGGGTTTCTATTCTATTCCATTGGTCTATGTGTCTGTTTTTGTGCCACTACCATGCTGTCTTGATGATAACGGCTTTGTAGTAGAGGCTAAAGTCTGGGATTGTGATGCCTCCTGCTTTGGTCTTCTTCTTCAAAATTACTTTGGCTATTCGGGGCCTTTTGTGGTTCCATATGAATTTTAGGATTCCTTGTTCTAGTTATGAGAAGAATGCTGGTGCAATTTTGATTGAGATTGCACTGAATGTGTAGATAACTTTGGGTAGTATTGACATTTTAACAATATTTATTCTCCAATTATTGAGCACGGAATGGTTTCCATTTCTTTATGTCTTCTTCAATTTTCCTCATAACCATTCTATAGTTTTCAGCATACACATCTTTTACTTCTTTGGTTAGGTTTATTCCTAGGTATTTTATGCTTCTTGGTGCAATTGTGAATGGGATCAGTTTCTTTGTCTTTCTGTTGCTTCATTATTAGTGTTAAAAATGCAACTGATGAAGACATCCTGGGAAGATGGCAGCATATGAGGATGCTAGGCTCACCATGCGTCCTGCTGATCACTTAGATTCCACCTACAGCTGCCTAAATAACCCAGAAAACCGCCAGGAGACTAGCAGAATGGAGTCTCCGGAGCCAAGCGCAGACGAGAGGCCCACGGAAGAGGGTAGGAAGGGCGGCGAGGCGGTGTGCGCTCCACGGACTGGCGGGAGGGAGCCTGGGCGGAGGGGCAGTCCGCCGGCAAGGAGAGCCCCCGAGTCTGGCTTGCAAAAGCGGAGGGGCTGGACGGAGTGTGTTCCGACAGCAAGCAGGACTTGACATCTGAAAGGTTATAAGCTAACAGCTCTACTCGGAGAGCGGGAGGGCTGGAGGACAATGGGAGGGAGAGTC